TTAAACATGAGGAAGTGCAATAAAGCCTATTTACCTTGTAGGGGGAGAAAACAAGCCCAACAGCAAAGAATTATTATATGAAAAAAAAGAAAAAAAAGAATTTGAGCCTCTCTGCAGCCTCATAAAAAACTTGCAGATAGCCTGTGATTCTGCAGGGGCAGATGTCCTCTCTGCTGTGCACTGTCTAATCAGAGCCCTTTTGGACTTAAGTGAAATAATAATAATAAAAAAGCAAATGGAGTGCAATTTCCATGGAAACTTGGAAACAGATGTAACATTATTTGCAGTAAGCCTTTGTACCGTGAATGGAAAATTTTCTAGTTTACACAAATCTCGGCTATTATTTTCTTTGCAGTGCAAACTTGGGCCAAATATTTTCTGTCATATTAGAGATGCAAATAGTTTTACTTTCTGTCCAGTACAACCATGCACAAAAGCTTCAGAAGCTGCAGTAAAATGCCTGATATTTATCTTTCCATGAACCCAAAACAGATATTAGAAAAAAAAGAGTAATTTGAGCTTCCTTTTTGCTTGTTCTCTTCGGAAAGTGAAAACAGCTTAGAAAACATCTCCTGTTCACATGTTATATTACAGACTAGTAGACAGCCAGAGCATTGGCAGATGTGCCCAATGTTAATGGGAGCTTAACTAACTCTTAATATTAGATCAATTAGATACCAACTCCTGGTTTTCCATATACCATGAGAAAGAGCTTTCTAGCTCAGGAGCATGTATTCACAGATTACTTACTTACCGATAAGCTTTCTCAGCTGTAAGTAAAGTCACCACAAAGTACACTTACAAGTCCAAAACCATGGCAATGACTTGTGACCTGATAACTGGTTTTGGAGACTAGAGCACCTTCATCTCACTGTGTTCTCAAGACCAGACAGAGCAACAACCAAGAAAACGTTGCCACATCAAAGAACAGCACCCAAAGCAGCTCTTACGTGAACATTTTTTCTCTTCACATTGCTACTAAAGCATTCTTTTCTGCATATTCTAAAAGAGAAGCGAAGAGAAACCATCTCTGTGTTTTATGATAATGCAGGACTCGCTTTTTACTTGTTTACAAGCTCTCCTCTTGCCAAGCTGAACCTTCTCTTTGCCACACATCTCAAGTGCAAATCAGTTACTCAGACTTGTTCTTCTCAAGATGGAGGGAGTTCTGCCCTGCTCTGCAAGTACTCATGTCCTTTAAGTGGATCATTTGCCCATACATTACCTGAGCAATTTAAACTTTAAGCTAAATCTGGCAGCGAAGTCTAACACATGCCTAAAGAACAACAGAACTTTTGGTGAAAATGGATGTCCCTTTTTGTTTGCAGTGCAGCCAAATGCTTTATAAATTAGATCCTTCTGCCACCACAGAAATGTCCAGCATCTGACATGCCTACTATTTTAGACGTACCATTGTAGCAGATTCGTCAGTTGAGTTAGTCTGTGTTTGCATTAGAGGTATCTATACCATTCATATTTTAGCTGTGCTTGTTTTACCTTCACTGCAGATCTGTAGAACTATACCAGTCTTTGTGAAAATTAAGCTGGTATCATGGCACAGTAGATAAAACAAATTATCTCTCATCTTTACAGCTACAAAAAGTCCATTGTTGCAGCACATAAGACAATAAAAATGTACCAAAAGCACAGAGTTTACATTACCATTTATATCATTAATGAAGTGACTTTTATCTTACATGAGTTTCAGACCCCACTCTCTTGCTACTCCTCCCTCACCCAGCACCTGGAATAATTGCAACAGTACAGAAATTAACTTTGAACAATACAAGTCCTAGTTCTGAGCTGGGCTGCTCCAAGTATTAAGCCTAGTGTGAGAATGGTAACAAAAGCGGACGGTAAAATTTTTCTCTCTTAAAAGCAGCTGTTCAGTTGGTGTAGTGTTGGAGCTATGATAATTACATGACAGCTCAGGGGACACCTCTGCAAACCTGGTGCCTGCCCTGTACTTTTCACAAGTAGGAAGAGTCCAGTGCTCTAATCTAAAATAATCTGGAAAAGGCTGTCTGCACGCCCATCTGCTCACCTAAAGTAACTGGGTGCTTCATGGTAACGCATGCCCCTTTCCACTCCTGGACATGCGCTCTACAGCAAAGAACTTTTCTGCGGGAGATTCATGTGTACCTCTAATCTCTATGGCTGAAATGTGGGTACAGTTTGGGACCATATTTGTGCAGAAGATTTGAGTTGTCTTTAACTGAGGTAACAAACACAGTAACAACATCCAACACCCGCTGAAGAATCCGTGCAAAGCAGTTGTCTGATAGAGACTGAACTAGTCCTGCCCTAGGAATCCTGACTATACTTGAGAGAGTCATTGTTTAAGGCAAGGAACTGCTTAATAAGGAATTGTTCTTTAACACAGATTTCATCACAGGATGACTGACTAAAGCTTTCTCTTTACAAGCTCACACACTATTCAAAATGTCACGTTGATTTTATACCTGCCTGGCCAAGTGAGATTACAGAGCAAGTCAATCACCTTGCTTTTCAGATGTATTTCCCCTTTTACATCTTGAAAATTCTACTCACTCACTTGTAGATCATGCAAAGAAAGAGGAAGCAGCATGACTCAGCTCCACACTACAATGGCTGGAGCAAATCCAGACCTAGCAATCCTTTGGGCTTTCCATACCAAAATACAAGTCTGCAGCTTGGATAATGTAAAGCATCCAGTGTTTGTATAAGAAATGTTAGATGGGCAGCATGCAGCTGCAGTCCTTAAACAATGTGCTAGTTCTTTACATTGATGGAAAATTATCTTCTGAAGAGTTACAAAGGGAACAAAAAAGCCAAAGGGCTCTGATCTTAAACAGTGCCTACGGAAGACAAAATGCTAAAGAGGAACAGCCTCCTGAACTGTATTCTGTAGACATGAATTTACATGGAAATCTAGTGGTAGATAACGTATTAATTTAGTAAGTTTCACATCATGCCATACTGGCAAATATTTTTGTATAATCTGTAAATTACAGAAGTCATAACAGAGGCATAGGAAAGCTACTGACCTTAAGGAATCCAGGAACTTACTCAAAGTTTCAAGAACCCTGAGTCCCAGTGCTTTGTCGAAACCACTGGAAAATAGTACTCTAAAAATTAGTTACTCTAAAAATTCAGTGTCATCTAGAAATTATTCCTGATCCTCTACCATGTTGCTAACACCTGATCCACAGATGTTTTTCATAAAGAGCATCCACACGGTGAGTTATTGCAGAGTAAATAATGCACTGTAAACACATTTAACTTCATTGTATAAACAAGCTCTGAGCAAAATTCAGCAAGAACTTCAGTTCACTCACTGAATGCACAACAAAGTTAGACAATTTGATGGTTATCTCACAGCAATCTAACCTCAGAGATAAAGACCTCAAATCTAAACCTGTTTCTTAGAATGACGTTGTACATTCTAGTCCATGCCCAGAAGCTCTGGGCAATGGGATGGATCTGTCTTTTCAGGCACTGCATTCACTGGGGGAAATTATGTATCAGTCATTACTTAGATAAATATGTGTAATACTAGCAACAAAAGTAAGAGAGAGGCATGATCCAAGCTATTTCTCTGAAATGGCCCTCACCTTCCTACAGAGCAAACCAAAGTATTACTTGCAAAAAGCAGTTCTCTGGACTGTGTACGCTGGGGGATGACTGAGCAGTATCAGGCAACTTGCATCACATACTAACCAACTTCACATTGCGTTAGAGGGTGAAAGGCCAGTAGGCTTCTGGGCTCTGTGTTAATTTCAAAAGATGGTTCATTGAGCAGACTTTACGCTTAGCAAAGCTTAGCAGTTTTTTTCCTTATCCCTCCCCAAAATATTTTGGGCATTGTCATATGATTGTACTACAAAACTTGAAGTTATCCAAAACCAGTTCTTGAGAAGGGAACGGAAACATCTCTTTTCATTCCAAAGGAAAAACAACTCCTATGCTGTTTTCCTAAGTGAACTGAAAACTTGGAGAGAAACCTAAAGCTAAAAAAAGCAAAGAACTCAAGAAGATTCATATTCTGGACTGTGGTTTCTGTTGCCTGAGCTTAAGGGAAAATATGTTCATGGGAAAAGGGCCTGCGTGGAGCCAGATTCTTTTTCAACTCTGACTTTTCTAGTTGGTGTGGCTTTAAATCAATACGTTGCTATTAAAGTTACTTCTTCATAAACAAAAATATTCATTATGGATTGTATGACAGTTGTTTACAATTGAAACAACCACTTGTACGGTGTTTCCTAGCAATCACGATCTAGTTCAGCTCCTATCAACCCCAGATAGACAGCGACTGGGCAATTTAAGAGGCCTTTACAATGTTAGTTCTGAGTTTCACTCATTCAAAGTGTTAAATCACCTTGCCAGAAGAGAGTTCCTGAATTAATCCCAAAACAAGTAAGTGTCAGCTTTATCACCTACCTTTGTATCTACACACAACTAAAGAAAACAACATCACACCTTAGAAAAACAGAAATCTTTCATGGCCTAATTTGAAAGAATCTTACTGTCATGTTATTATGGACTGTCTTTAGTACTGCAATTCACTTTTGTCTTTAGCCAGGACTAAACCAGATTATAAATATAATAGAATTCCACACTAACCCTGTAAAGACTAGCCTACAGACAAACCTGCCACCGGCAATTCAGAGAATTTGTAATTGTGTAACACTGCAGCAAGTGTAACAAAACGTGACCATGCTGCCCAAACCGACTGTGCCAGACCCTAACAAGTATGGTTATCAGTATTCTAAATGCTGTATCAACAGAGCTTAACCTAGGGATTATGATCCCCATTATACACTTGAATTGTCTTCTGCTTTAATTAGTTATATTAAGAGTTAACAAAAATATCTAATATGGTCATTTTTGAGATTCCTCAAGATTTAGAATGATGACGACTATTTTGAATGACATAGTATGCTTTCACTGAACTTTAAAGTGAACTTCACCCCCTATGTAAAAACTGCAATGAAATTATGCTATAAAAGAAAACCGGTTACCTGTGATCAAGGACTGTTACATCGGAAGCAGGAATCCCCAGAAGAAAACAACTCTGTTCCAGTTCTTTCTTGCGAATCTCTCCTTGATTGTAATAATTTCCTAAAAATAGCAAACACAGCAACACTGTCTAACTTAGTTTAGGTTAGCTTGGAATTAATTCCTCTTTTCTTTCTCAAAGCATTAAGCGTGAGCATCACACATTAAATAAAAGGGCATCATCTGAGGCACAGACACATTGCAGGGGACAAAATCCATAGCTTTTGAGCAACACCTGGCTTAGCTCAGGGTAAAATGCTGAGGCAAAGTTCTGCCCACCTTGACTACATTCCTCACGTTTATGCACTGAGTGTGGCTTGCAGCCGTTCATGAGCTTATTTGGCAAGGCCATCAGAAATTGCCATGTCTAATCAGATCAGTGGTCCAAACAGCCCAGTATCCTCATCCTAAGAGTGGCCAAAGTTGAATGCTTCTGCCAAAGACACAGGAGACCTTCCAAACAACAATTCTGGAATAACCCACTTGGGAAACTGCTTCCAACCACCTGTTTGATTATCAAATGTCTTATTCCTTGAAACATCACAATTTCTAGCTCTTCTGAGTTTTTTGTTTGGGCTTTTTGTTTTATTTTGGTATATGCCCAATCCACTTCTGAACATTGCTAAATTTTTAGCAAGATTTAGTATCTCTTTTGGTGAATTCCATAGGCTGATGTGCTGGTTTTGGCTGGGGAAGAGTTAATTCTCTTCACAGTAGCTAGTATGGGGCTGTGTTTTGGATTTGTGCTGGAAACAGTGCTGATAACACAGGGATGTTTTAGTTACTGCTGAGCAGTGCTGACACAGAGTCAAGGCCTTTTCTGCTTCTCACCCCACCCCACCAGTGAGCAGGCTGGGG